AAATATCTGGTTTGTTTTCTTTTTGTTTTATTTCTTCGAACATTCATATATTACAGAAGCTTTTAATAATATCTTCTACCCGCGATTGAAAGCGATCCAAGAGCTAAACGATGCGATAAATAAAACACCAAGACGTTCCAAATTAACGACGAATTATTTGAATATGATTCAATGTACCACATTTAATCTCTTTATTTATATAATAATTATCACTTACTTATATCGGTATGATATCTTCAGACGAAATACGCAAAAGTATATAAAGTTATATTTCAAATAGATTAAAAATAAGGATTTAAAAAAATTTAATTTTTCCAATGTTAAAAAAAAGCAGAGGGAAAGACTAAAGTTTGGCTTCGGAAGTCCTTGGAAGAAAGACGGAACACTCGATCTGCCCGAGCGTTTCGAGGGTCAGATTCGTCTATGGGAAGTCGCCAAAGTATGATTCAGGTAGACGATGTGACGAGGGTAGGATTATCCAGAGCTTCGAGATCTGGACGTCGCTCGTTGTCATTACGTTTATGCTTGTGTAATGCCAAATTCATGATCGCGCTGCAACAACGACGATGACTCAACCTCAAGGCTCCGTTCACGTTTTCGAGGCAAGGCAAGACAAGTCGAGGCTCACTTACTTAGTTTGTGCCCGGTCTCTCTCTCTCTCTCTCTCTCTCTCTCTCTCTCTCTCTCTCTCTCTCTCTCTCTCCCTCTCTCTCTCTCTCTCTCTCTCTCTCTCTTCCTCTCTATCGCATACACGTACGATGTTGGCCCGGTTTATCTCCGCCAATCCCGAAATAATCTTTAGATTCGGTTTCTCCTTGCTTCGGTCTCCGCCGATCGTGCGTACACGCATGTTTCGAGGACCCTCTCCTCCTTCTTCATATCTGACGTCCTCGTCGAGCATACCTACAACCTTTGACTATAGAAATGTGAGCTGCTAGAAGAGGTACGCTCAGAACTGCAGCCAACATCAACCGACGTCATTTGAATAGAATAGTGTTGAAGTAAAGTGGAACGATTCGCTGAAAAACTACGGGCAGAGATATCGAGTAAAGAATACGAAGAGTAGAGATTTATATATATATATTTTTTAGATATGCGCGATGCACATTTATACATTTGTAAATATTCTAAACAAAATTTAAGCTTGTAGCCTTTACTTGTAACAATTGTTACAAGTAAAGGCTATTTGTAATTATATAAGTAAATTGAAAATAAATTGTTGGGGGACAAATACAAAAAGAGAATGATGCGGAGAAAAAAAAGATGTAAAATTGTTGTAACAATAAACTCTCTCAGAATATTAAGTGTTTTAATTGCACCAAATTAGATGACATAAGTTCCATCTAAAATTAATTAAAAAGATGAGTATCGCGCGTTATTCACTTATTCATAATTTCACGGTTTAATTTAACGCTGTTAAAAACTCCACGCTTTTTAATAGCGAATAATTTAATAACAGTGTAAAATAATCCGCATTCTTCTTTCAATTTTATTTTTCTGTAATTTATCCAGAACATTGGCAATAATAATAATTATCATGACTATTATTACAAAAATACTTGTACTAAAATACTAATTATAACGATAAAATTATATACAGGATGGGGGGGGGGTCCATTTTAATAAATCCATTAGAATATCTCAAAGTTAACGATGCCGGATGGTACCATCCGGTGCCGGAAGTTGCTTTTAGCACTATCCAGGAATAACGGCATATTTAAATTTAAAAAAATGTATTAAAAAAATGTACCTATTTAAAAAGTTCAAGGTGACCTCAATCTGATCTTAAGGACATATTAATCAAGGTCGTTCTCTTCATCTCAAACTTAATTGTTTTAAACTAATGAGATTGACTAAGCGTTGACCTGTGTTAATTTCCAAGCCCCATTATCTTATAAAGTATTTAATAAAAAAATACTTTATTATAATGTTCTGAAAAGATTTTAAAGTCAGCTACATGAATATAAAATAAAAAATAGAAATTTCAATTTAAAAAATTTGGTGTAATTTTGATCTAATTTTGAAGACATCTTCTCAAGTTCAACCAAGATTATCGTCTTAAATTCTTTCTTTCTAGTACGAGTATTTTGTCTGAAACATTTTTGTCTTAACCTTAAAGATTTTGGGATATTTTAATGGATTGATTAAAATGGATTATCCTGTATAAAATAAGGAAATAACTGAACTTCTTGAGGTGTCCTATATAATTGGTTTATTTTATGAGTCTCAGCTCGTTTCCATATTTCGATATCTTATTTCATCATGAGATCTATAAACTGTTTGTTTAGTTTTCGATCTTGGAAAAAAGTATCGTTTAACAGGTAGTCACTGTCTTTTCAAAAGTCACTGAGCTTGTGCCAGATGACGCGAGAAAATCGATAAATCGCGCCTCGCAAATTGCTGTTCGCTAGATGATTTAAATCTCAGCCATCCGAAACTTTAAGTATGTTTATTTGCCAAGCGTGGACGATGTCATTTTTCATCATTTCCGATTTTTGGATTTCAACGTTCGATTTAAGGAAATTTAAATTTCTTAAATTAAATAAAAGATAACGACCTTGCTCCAATTAAAGCAAATTAGGCCGTCTAAGAAATCATCGGTGATATCTCGAAAACAGATTTCTTCATAAAATAAAATAGAATTGAGAAAAGCATATAAAATGCAATAGAATAAAATTAAAACAACAAAATTTAGAATATCCAAAATACAAATGCAAAGATAGCCACGTCGCAATATACTTTTAAAATTTAAGTGATTAAGTATTATATATATATATATTTATTATATAGGGTAAAATCAGGAACAATGGCATAGGCTACTAATATGGAATAGTGGCTTATTTTTTAAACAAAGTATTGCAATCTGGCGGCAATCGCTGAAAGTTATTGCAACTGTTACCAAACATGTCATAACAAGCAATGAACTCGGTCCGACCAACCGTTTTGCTACAATTAACATTTATTCATTTTCGTTACGTCAGAAGATCCGGCAGCTTCTTCTAAAAAGTGTCCTCACAAACTAAAGGTAAGTTTTTTTAATGCTTATATTGCACTGACGCTTTTAATAATGTTGCATGAACAATATTATGCAGATTAATTGCTATTTCAAACTTGTTTATTGCTACGGAAAGACTTTATTTGCCATATGACGACATGCAGATAATGTGGAATACATCGAGGGTTGAGAATATGGAATAGATTCCATGCATGTTAGCAACTTATTCAGATTAGGTTAAGTTAGATTACAGCATGTATTCTATATCAGCTTATTTGCAATTTATCAGCTTATTTGCGATTTTTTATTTGTCCATGCGTAATAACGTTCGTAATGATGCATAACATATTCCTCAAGAGTTCTGTGTAAATTTAAAGTCTTCATATACATTTATATCGGAGCAATGTTAATTTAAAAAAAGCTATTCCATAATCCCTGCTTTTACCCTATATATATATAGAGGAAAGTCGCCGATACTGACATAGGTCTTCTAAAGTGACACACCCTTATTTCTCAGAAACTAACTATTGCACTTTATTAATACTAATAAAATCATGATCTGTTTAGCTAATTAAAGAAGTACAAACTCATAATTCATATATTTAATTATTTCTATACCAAATCAGCTAAAAACCAATTCTATGAATCCGAGAAGAAAATTCTTACGGTGTTCTTTTGCAAATTGCGTAATTAAAATAATAGTGACTGTATTATTGATAATATTATGTCATTTTAAATATTTATGGTTTCATAGTAAATTAATTTTCTTTAAAATAGGATATATCTTTATTTATAAAATAGGAATGTTGGTATTATTGCCTACTATGTCAGTTTGGAGCCCATTTTTTGTCAGACGCTCATTTTTGCATAACTTACGAAAAACTTAATTATTGCAAAATTGCAAACAGTATTATAAAAATTACTTATACTATC